CGCTGCACACCGCGTCGCACTTGCTGCTCATGGGCTCCAGGCCTGAAGAAAGCAGGGGGCAAGGGTAAAATGACGTGTTTTTGTGTTTTTGTTGTTTGAACGCCATCAAAGAGCATGTCATGGGTGATCAACCGCTCCAACCCCTCCCCCACATGTACAGCTAGCGGCTCCTAAGTATCAGACAAGGGTTGCTCGTTTCCCGGCTCCCCATTCACCTTTCTCTTTGCCTCCTTGCACACGGACTGGTACCCCACCAGCGGCGAGGTGAAGTTCCTGCCCGCTGCTGCTGCTGCCCAGGCACAGCAGACATGGCTGCAGATCTAGGTGGCCGTGCACCGCCCCGAGGGCTATCAAAGCGATGTGTGTGCCGTATGTGACTTTTTGGTAGCGTTGTTAGGACCGCGTCACGCGGCAACCACTTGCCAGGAGCGAATGAAGTGAACGGAGCGAATGGTGCCTTTCCGGGAAGGGTGCGTATGTGGGTGGCTGACCGCTAAGATTGTAGTAAATTATGCCAGGAGCGAATTAAGCCGACACTGGAACGAGCTAGTGGTCTTGGTTGTGCAGCACAAGCGAATGAAGCGAATGAACGGCCGGGCCGGGAAGCCAACTCCGCGAAGAGCAACCTAGCGGGCTGTTACACAGGCTGCATTCGCTCCTTAATATATACCTTATTTATTGGTCAGGCACAGAGCGCCCATCATGGCCCCTACAGCCCGCCCGAGTGAACGGGCTGTCCCACACACACCCAAACGCACCCACACACACACAGGGGATAGGGTTATAAACCTGCAATGGGAAATCACATTTGATGTGTGCAGCCATAATTGTCGTGCCTGGCTGCGGCAGGCAAGCTGAGGGGGTCAGGCCTGTTCGGGACCGTGCCGATGACCATGCACCTGCACGAGCACCCACGCAACCTTGCAGGCGGACACCTATCACACCTCTCAAGGTAGGGGTCGTGATACATCGACAATCAAGTGCCACCCGGGCGGCGGTGAGGGCTTGCTTCCTACGCACGCGCTCTTTGTGGGACTCGAAACTCCTCAATACCAGAGATGGGGCCACCCCGCAGAACGACACCCAGCACCGCAATCAATTGCACAAATTGTTTTCTGATTCATTCACCTCACCAGCAGCCCTCCACAAACAACCGCAATGGCACGTCAGCAAGTGGTGTTGTTGTCACGCACAACCAGCTCTGGCACGCATCCAGCCCCGGGTGATCCGTCACCCGCCTTTGCGACTGCTACCGCGTGGACCTTACTGCTCTTCAGGCCAACTGCGAGAGCAGGTAGTTGGCCGCCTTCCCCTTGCATGTCCCATGTGCCTTTTGCTATGCATCCAAATTGCATGTAAGCCAGTGTCCAGACACCCCATGCCAAGTTTCTCAGGGAGGAGGCTCGGGGCAGTCGGGTGAAACAGGTACAGTAACACAGCCACAGAGCACAAAACCATGCATCCCCACAAGCAGCCACCCCGAGATTGCTAGACAGCCACCATTGCTCAGTGTCCTGCTATCAGGATGCAAGCTCCTCCCAGTTAGTTGAGGATGCACTGCATTCGGCTGCCTGGCCAGAGTCCGCGCCTGGCGCCCGCTGCACACCGGTGCCCATTGTGCACAAAAAGCCCTGTTTGCAGGGTGTCAACACAAGAACGGCCGCACAACCATTGGGTCCCTGTGCCAGCAGGCGTGGCGCCTTGCGCATGCACGGCGCCTCCACCTTGTAATGGGGGGGGGGGCGTGCACCTAGTTGAGGCTCGGTGCGGCGTTTGCTTGGGTTACAGCGCAGGCCACTGCGGCAAGTTGCCGGCGGCGCGCGCGCAAGGCAAGGCATGCCCCGCCAGGCAGGCTCAGCGCTCACATGCAAGCCCGAAAGTTGGATGTGTTCTCTGATCGCCTCCTGGTGAACGTCTCGCCAGAGTTCCTACTGTCGTGCACTCGCAGTCGGCTGTACCGGTACTTGGTCACCAATTCAAGTTTTGGTGATTGTGCTGGACTGGCCATGGTGCATGAATACTCCTGGACCTAGAAATATCCTGAGAGAGGTTTGATATCTACCGGTAGGCAGGCTGCAGCATCGTCTTGTATTTGAAATTGCCTGGACTGCTCGGCGATCTGCGTGATTGGCGCAACAAACACAGGCGGCCCTCATGGACCGTTTTGCATGAATAGGATGGGTCAATCAAATTGAGTACTGTGGGGAGGTCAGGACGGGAGCTGTGTCCGGTGGCCTCACGAGATCGAGGAAGGCGCACAGGGCAGAATCACCCGATCTCAACCAAGAGCCATCTGACAGCATTCTGGAAGGATGAGTGAATCCGGGGACAGCTCGCGCCACAGCTTCAGCACTGGCGCCTCCAGCGCGGCCAGCGACACGTCGGACGCGCGTGCGCTCGACGCACTCGAGGATCGCGCGTAAGTGATCGTGCAGTGGCTGGCAAGGCATTTGGAGGTTGGGGACATTGTGTCTGCAAGCACGTGATTACGTGCAGCTGGCATACCTGTGTCTCATTATCCCATGCAAGGGTGCACCTGATGTTGTGTGTGCGCGGTGCACTGATCACATGGCTCTGTTGCTGAGTGGGCATTGCTCGCGCTGTGGCTTCTGGGGCTGTGTCGCAGGGCTGATGGCGACGGCGAGAACATCAATGATTCCATCTCGGGGGCTCGCGGGGTGTCTGAGGCGGTGAGCGCATGGCATGGTACCGCACCAGTCTCGCAGCATTCGCTTGCGGCGGCGCAGCACAATGGTGTGCACATGGCGCATTGCCCCCCCGCAATCTGTCGACACAATTGCAATCGGAAGCTAAACTCCTGAAGCCAATTGCGTTGCTCTGCACTTGCGTGATCTGTTGGTCTTTTCAGACGCGCATACACACACACACACACACACACACACGCACGCAAGCACGCATGCTCGCACATATTTGCATGCGCACATGCGCACACATGCGCACTCGCGCACCACACACACAATCATATGCATGCATGCATGTACACACATGCACGTGCACATGCACACGGGTGCATGCGCCCAGGTGCGCACACTGTTCATCAAAGTCGCCATCCCCGCCATTGGCCGCACCCCAGATCTTTGCGACGCTGGTACTGCTGGGCAAGAACCGCAGCCAGCAGGACCTGCGATGGGTGGTGCTGCGGATTGTGCTGGAGTTCCTGCAAATGTTCCGCGTCGTGTTCAACACGGAGTTCTTGTGAGCCCTCGCGCAGGCCGGGATGCGGGGAGGTGGATGGGACGGGGGGGGGTGTCGCTCATCCACCGCGCATGCAAAGTGCCTCTGCGCATGGAAGGAGGCACAGGGTGCATTAGAGGCTGGGAACAATTGAGGCGGCGAGTGCTGAGGGAGGTTTATGGTGGGCGTCAAGAACTGGAAGCTCTAACCACGTGCCGGCACAGGGAGCGGCAGTCTTGGCTAGGGCACTGACAGGGGAGGCATGGCGGCAGGGAGCTGCAGGCGTGCTAGCATGAGGGTGCATGCAGCGGGTGATCGCAGGCCGATGTCCAACAAGCCACGAGGCAGTGGGCGCAGGGAGACTAGCGGAAAACACAGGGCTGCACTTGTTACAGCCCCGCCGCCTTTGGATGCCCTGCCCCAGGCTCTTGGTGCCTTCCGCAACACCTCACAAACCCCCCCACCTGCCCCACCACGCTTGCTTGCTTGCCGCTGCCAGGTGGCTGGTCCACAGGGAACTGGCGGCGTTCAAGGTCATACGCTGGGTGCTGTTCCGATTCCTGGTGCTGCCAAAGGGATACAACACCTACGTGAGGCACGGCTTGGGGTCAATGGAGTGGGGCTGGGTTGCGCGGCATGTGTTGATTTGCGAGGACTGAATGCGTTTTGATGGAGGGGTGATGTGCAGGGTGTGGCGTTCGGCCGATTGATGCAGAGGAATCTAACCCAATCCCTTGCAGTGCGGCCGCTGGCGGTTCGGCTGTGCTAGTCACCAGCGTCGAGTGCCGCCTGCCGTTCGCCCCTCCATCCCGCTTCATCCATCAGTCCCCAGCACCCAGCCCCCAAGTGCCGTTTCCTCCTTGTGCCGTCTCTAAACCTACAGATTGTGGTGTTCTACATCATCGCGGCGACCATTGTTATCTCTCTTGCATTGACAGCATACGTTGCTGTGGTGGGTAATCTAGCTGGTCATTGCGGCATTCGGCATCAAGGATGGATGTATGTGGTGGCTGCCACCCCGCTTGTGGCAGGGGAGGGTGCTCTGACAGGGGCACAGGGATAAACCAGTGGCACCGAAGCAGGAGCGCAGTGGCACTTTGCGGCGCTCGCACTGGTCCTGCTTGTCAGGTGTCGTGAAGACAGTTTGCATTTGAGCTCTCTGGCACATTGCACGCACGCACGCAGCAAGGGCGCACGCAAGAACACGCACGCACACACACATCCCAACAACAAGCAGGTGCTAAGAAAGGATGACAGCAGTATGGGTGGCTGGCTGGCCAGGTGCGGCAGGCCTGCAGAGGTTATGGCACCCCTCCAGGGTACCAAGAGATGAGAAATCCCCCAGCCGTATCGCGCTGCAACATGTCAGACTCAGCTGTGGCGGACGACTGCGGTCACTGCTGGCTGGCCCTGGCCACTACATTTCCTGCGCGTTTGGTGGCACAGCAGCCACCTATTCGTACAACCCTGCACCTCCTCACCCCTCCTCAGGCTGGTCCAGTTCATGCAGCTGCTGGCACTGATCATGTACAGTGTGGCATGGGTCAGGTGAGGCCCATGGGCTGGAGGAGATGACAGGAGCCAATCGCTCCATTGGTGCCAAAGGCATGAGGGCGATCTCCAATATGGCGTGCATGTGCACAAGCGTGCGATACCGGCTGCGCGACTGCGACTACACCTTGTGCCCCTGGCATGCCCATCTTGTTGCGATGCAGTCCTTTCTTATCCTGCCCTCATGAACTGCACACGCAACCACATGCACACTCATCACCCAGCATCCTGGATTTCCTGGTCTTCATGTGAGGGGGGTGGTCATACAGGGTGACACATGCAATTGGTTTTTTTTGCCATACGGCACAACGATAGGCATGTGTGTGAAGGAGCCAAATAGAGGGGATTGTACTGGCTGGGTCTTGATCAAGAAGCAGCGGCAGCTGAGGGTGCCAACAATGCGTAGCCAATGATTTCTGCGCCAGCCCCACAGGGGACTGTATACGGATCCCTCTCACATTATGCAATGCAGGTTTGCATGCCACTGGGAGGAGGTGTCTGTGATGTCCAGCGTAACGCATATCGTCTTTGAGAAGTCCTGCGTGACCATGCCCCACCTGGCGCACATGGCCTTTGCCGTCGTGGTCACCCTGACCTTCATGGCCACATGCCTCGGGCTGGTGGGCTGGCTGGGCGCGGGAGATGGGTAACGGAAGGGGGGGCATTGGAGAGGCGCGTGACGGAATGTCCCGCACGCACCATCGCACGACTCATAGCTCACGTCACCGCTGCTGCTGGGCAACAGGGCTGTAATAATGGTGACACAAACGCTTGGCTGCTTGTTAACCTCTACATTTCCTGTATGTGTCTCATCAGAACCCCATTTTCTGTCCTGCACCCCAAAATTTTCCGCAATCCACCTCCTGTCATTCTATCGCCCCATATTGCGCAGTCAGTGGGGGACTGCGACCTCAACCCCTTGACGCGCAACATGTTGGCCACACCCGCCGCCATCACCAACCTCACAACCCTTGCGCTCAAGGTGGGCCCACTGCTGCATGTTGACAACTCCCAGGTCCAGGACCCAAGCGCGACATGGTGCTATTGCCCTGTAATCTCCGCCGCCGTTGCAGTTGCTGCTGGCTGACATGCGGCAACAACCAAATTATAACCCACTACATGCAGATGGTGATGGTCGTACTGTCCACCGCTGGCGGCTCAAACCCCAAGCTTCAAAGTGTTGTGATGGCGGTGTGCTCCGGCTACATAACATACCAGATGATCATGGCGGTGGGATGGGGGAGGGGTTGCGGCAGCAGAGAGGAGAAAAGGGAGGGATTGCAGTCAGGAACTGAGGAGAGGGGGCTTACTTGTGGATTGTCTCAGCGTGGTTGCAGATGATGGCTGGTTGAGCGAAAGGGAGTTTAACCAAGGGGGTACTGCCGAACTCATGGCACGGTTGCAAACCTGTGCTTGCGCCTTTTCTAGCAGCCACAGACTGCTGCTGGACTTGAAAGCAGCGCACACACTGTGCCCACCTCACCCCACCCCGACCATCACCACTGCCAAGTCGTCAAGTTCAACTCCTGAACCCTGAAACCTTGACCTTCCCCCTCAACACATACCAGGCATCATACTACAACGACTGGGTCAACCACGTTTGGAACGGGCTTTGGACCGGCAATGTCTACACCTGCATTTTGCTGGTGGGTGCCCGGAGAGACAGGATGTGTGTTCAGGAGGGTTGGGGAGAAGCATGCTCGTTTTGAATTGGTTCTGTATGTTCAAGATCCAGAGTCCATTTGGACATCAGAATCACTTGCAAATTGGTGTGGTATGTGGGCAAACGCGTTTGGCAAACGGACTCGTTTGGCGTGATGAGGGTGTGGATACTCACTTGCAAAGGGTGTCGCCACCAGCAGGCCGCCCGATAGCCGAGCGCAATGCCACAAGGCCCAGCGCAGTGCACTGCCGCCGCCCTGGTGGCACGCAACACCCTGAAGCCTGAGAAACCAGCTAGCGGGATCGCAACACGCGCCTCCTTGGTCTTGCCACCTAACACCCCCTTCCCACAACTTGGCCCCCCCTCGTCTCGTCCTCCTCGGCCCCCTCCCTCCCTCCTAGAATGTCGTGACATACAAGTACCCTGATAACCCCGCAATGAGAGAACATATCACATGGGTGAGGCGGTCCGGGGAGGGGCTTGTTGAGTTGTAGGCAGGGTGGGGAAAGGTAGGCATGTGGCTGCTGCGGCGTAGTTGCCGGCCGGAATCAACATGTCAAGGGGACTGACCTGGCAAAGCAGCTTAGAGTGTCATATGGTCCAGCTAACCCCCCCCTGCTGACACAACCACACGGTAACATCAACACAACTTTCACCCTCAGGCTGTCCTGTACGGCATATTTGCGGCAGTGCTGCTGGGCGCGGCCGCCAGCGCGGCGCGGCTGTGGTGGCTGCGGCGGCCGCTGAAGGTGCTGCGCGCAGCCAAAGACGACCCCGAGGCGCTGCGCAACCTGGGCAAGGTGTACCGATTTTCCAGCACCACAGAGGTGCGGGACGCGGGGTTGTCGCCGCAACCGTGTTGTGCAAGGCGATGCAATGGGATGGGCATGCCGCTGCTGGACCGTCATGTATTTGTGCTCAGCATGAATAACTAGTGAGTGCTGAGGCGCAGTGTACAGGGTGGGCAGGGGGGGCGATGACGCATGGGTGAAAGTCAGCCGGATGACGTACTGGCGGTCATTGAACGCATAATCATGTCACACAAGCCTGCCGCACAAAGATACGCCTTTTCTGCAAGGAGCAGTGCGGGGAATGCAACAGAGCCACAGCTGCATAGCCACGCCGTCAACCGCCGTACACGTGTCATCTACTTTCATGCTTGCATGCTTTGCTTACTTGCGTGCTTCCTTGCTCTTTTGCCGTGGGTGGGCACCATGTTGCATCATAACGCCGTTCTTGGCGCCTCACCAATGTTCGCTTCTATGTGCATCACGCAAACAACGTGTGTGTGTTTCAAACGAAAACAAACCACCACCCGCGCCCTCAGGTGGAGATCCTGGCGCGTGTCATGCGCAAGTGGGATGAGGACGGCCAGCCTGATGAGGAGGCCTGCGCCCTGGGGGAGTTCACGTGCAAGGTGTGAGTCGCGTGGGTGGAGGATCCAGGGACATGCGAGCTTGTTTGAGTTGTGGGTGTGCTGTGGCGTACCAAGCATGTGAAACGTGCATGTGGGTCCCAGGAGATCGGGAAGCATGTGCCTGAATTCAGGGTGGAATGGCAAGCTTACAGGTGGAGGAGGAGGTTCCAAGGGGAGGCGGGAACGGAATGTTGTGTGTTTTCAAGGTTTTGAGGCAGGGGGGGGGCATCCTGTCATGTAAGCAGGCAGTGCATGTACCTGAGCTCAACCTGTTCTACAGACTATGGCCTCACGACGCTTCCGCTGTGTGCAGTGCGGCTTGGCGCGCTTCCCCAACAGCGCCACCCTCATGATCGCCCTGGCCAACTTTCAAATAGAGGTGGGCCTGAGATTGCGCAAGAGCGGGGCACACTGGGTGGGTCAGGTGGAAGTATCCAGGGCCTAACAACCCCGGCAGTGCAGGCTGCCAATACTCGGGCTACACCACAGCTGGTTGTCAGGTTGCAGCGTCAACCTTGATGTACTGCAGCTTGACTTCGACATGTACAACCCCCCCCTATTTGCACAGCATACTCCCCGGTGACCCTCACCCACTCGCACCCAAATCCCCCAGGCCCGCAAGGATGGTCACGCCGCACGCACCCAGCTGCAGCTGGCCGTCAAGGCCAACCCTTCCACCATAGAACGCTTCTTCATCTTCAAGGTGCGCGCAATGGGGCGGCACACAGGGCCGCCGGTTGGACCTTGGGCGAGCACCATGGCCACCTGTCGACCATCAACTCTCCTCTGGTCTCTTCACACACACCCACGGTGAAGCGCATCACGCTGCCGTCGTTCCCCATGCCGCACCCCCAGACCAGCCCTCATCCCTTTCAAACAAA